CTTTATTTTTGTTTTTTGTTCCCTCCATTGCAATAGTAAATTCCCTGTAACTGTAGTATTGTGTAGGATGTTTTTTTTCTTGGAACCACCATGCCCTTGCATGCTTGTTTAATTGGCATGGAGCATTCATTGCATACCATCTTTAAGGCTACAAATAAGAGTTTACTATGTAACATTGCTGTGTCATGCTTGCATGCTTGACAATTCCCTTTCATGTCACCCTTTCATGTTTGCTCAAAAGTCAGCCAAAAGACTCTATACTATACTGGTACAGGGTCACCAAACAAATTGTATCAAAATTGAAAAGGAGAGTTTTATACTTTTCTGATGCGTAGATAATTCCAATCAAAATTGGATTTTTTTTACCAATTTTTGAAGTTGCTCAAAAAGCAGGCCAATGACCCTGTAGTCCTGTACTATAAAAAAGTCTTGGGCCATATTTTTTCAAAAATTTGAAAAGAGTGAATTTACCATTTTTATAATTTTTTCTAATACATATAGATGTACATGTACTTATTTGCATAGAAAGTTTGAACTAATTTTGATCAAATTTAGATTTTTTCAAAATTTTATGCCCTGTACTTGTATGATACAGGGTTTATTGTCAAATTAACTAGGAGAGAATCCTCCATTTTTATTAAATGTGACCATAATTGACAAAAGGTACCTTATGGCGGGTAGTGAAATTTGTCTTTCTAGCCTAAGAAATCCAACTTCCTGAGCTCTATTTATCATAAAATTACTCCACAGGATGCAAAAAGTTACCATGAAACTTTTAGAAACAATGATTGTCTAACAAAGCACTCACAGGTTGATATTTTCCATTATAACGATCAATTTTAAAATCCGCCATAAGGGCCCTTTTGTCAATTATGGTCACAAATTTCCTAATGTATGTCTATACATGTTCTCATGTTGTGTAGAAAGTTTGTGCTGTTTCAATCCAAGTTAAATTTTTTAATAAAATTTTAAATATATACTAAGCATTAATTTAGCTCACCTAGTAATACTTATGAGAGAACCTTTGACCTCCACCACCTCTGAGACAGTTTTCTATTATGGTTATTTGTTATCATCCTTCAAAGTTTACAACTTCCTTTGTTTGACATGCTCATAGTACAGTGTATGCTTGTGGTGTTAACGTGTTGTGTCTGCAAGGCTATATAAGGAAGTGTCTATTAAACCTGTACTTTGAGTACTGGCTAGACGCTTGTTAATAGTTACATGTACAAGAGATGGCTATCATAAGGGGGGAGATTCATTTTTGGCTAAGTGTGCTTATAAGTGCTGGGGGAGGGAGAGAGTGAGTAGAGATGGAAACAGTGGAAGCAGTGGAAGCTAATTTTACTTTTGCTCAAGAGTTCAGTAGTCCAGTAGTAGCAGCTGTTCTTATTATTCAGGTTATATTAGCTCTGATAGCTAATGGTGTGGTACTATCTATCACACTCTATCAAAGGAAGTCCTGGAAACAATCATCAACAATATTCTTCACTTCTCTCATACTGGCACATCTTGTATTGAATCTACTGTACCTTCCTTTCACTATCATTGCATTAGCTGCTGGTGAGTGGATCTTTGGTAGTACAGATGAGGAGAAGAGAGGGACATGTACTTTTGCTGCTTTTGTCTTCGTATCGTCAATTCTAGCCATATTTATGACACTAGCTGCTATATCATTTGATCGGTTTCTCTTTATTGTCAAACCACATCTTCACAAGCGGTTCATGAGACCCTGGGTAGCACTGACCCTCACCATTGCTATATGGACACTGTCTGCCGTATTGAGTTTTACTCCATTCTTTGGGTTTGGACACTTTCTTTATTTCAGTCGGATTGGCTCCTGTTTTCCAATCTGGGCCACCCTTGAATATGAATTGTATACACTAGCACTGGTGGCCACCAATCTCTTGATTATCGCTGTGACATCAGTTCTTACCTTCTGCTTCACTCGTAGATTCATTAACAATCAATCCCTCATAACTCCTAATGTGTACTCGTGTGAAAAGAAAAGGCTCTTTGGAATATTTGGTGCCATGTTGCTCTCATATGTAGTCTGTTTTATTCCGAGTGTTATTTTGATTTTCTTGTTCCTTTTTCCATTTACAATGCCTGTTGAATATATTGTGACATGTTTTGTTTCTGTCCTTTTTGTTACAACTGTTAATCCTCTCATACAGTCTTACTTCAGACCTGAAGTGAAGGCTATTATTAATAGTATGTTTTTTCAGAAATTATCTAAGAAGATTCTTGTTTAAATATATTATAATATTATTGTAATACTGATAGACATGTTTTTGCTTGTTACTATAGCCACCTATGCATAATCAAAACATCACTAAGTCAGGAAAGGCATTGTTATTGTAACAGAACAGGTCACCAAATTACTAAGGTTAGCTCAGTCAGTCATGGAAGACAACTTTACTTTTACCGGTAATTTCAGCACTCCAGCAGTAGCAGCAGTGCTTTCTGTTGAGACAGTAGCTGGTTTGGTTGCCAATTTTATCATACTATCTATCACACTCTATCAAAGGAAGTCCTTGAAACAACCATCAACAATATTCTTCACTTCTCTCATACTGGCACTTCTAGTATTGCTACTGGTTTACCTTCCTCTGTCAATCATTGCAATAGCAGCTGAAGAGTGGATTTTTGGCAGTAGCTTTGAAGAGAAGAGTGCAACCTGCTCTTTTGCTGCGTACATTTTCTGGTATTGTCTAATGGTCATAACGTTAACACTAGATGCTATATCATTTGATCGGTTTCTCTTTATTGTCAAGCCACGTCTTCACAAGCGGTTCATGAGACCCTGGGTAGCACTGACCCTCACCATTGCTATATGGATACTGTCTGCTATACTAAACAGTGCACCTTTCTTTGGTCTGGGAGTATTTCGTTATGAAAGCTGGTTTGGCTCTTGTATTCCAGTATGGATAAGCATTGACTTTGTGGCCTATTCACTGACAATAATATTCTTTTTACTTTCAGTGATAGTTATCACATCCCTCTGGACCTTTTGTTTTACACGACAGTTCATGAATGAACAGTCTCTATCGACTACACCTGATGCCTATACATCTCAAAAGAAAAGACTCTTTGGAATATTTGGGTCAATGCTGATTGTCTATGGGATATGCTTCACCCCTGGTACCATTATGATTATTTTAATTCCTATTGTTGACTCTCCTGCTGAATTGTTCGTGACCAGCTATGTTTGCATTCTCTTCATTACTGTGGCTAATCCTATAGTGCAGTCTTACTTCAGGCCCGAGATTAAGAGTACTTTGTTGGCTCTATGTCAGAGAAAGCAAGCAAATCAATTTCAAAGTCTAGAACTAAGCAAGCATAGTATGTAATTATTAGTTGTTGATTGGTTGCCATTTTTATTGTATTTAGACTTTATTCAGTCAATTGCAGGTGTAAAATAGTTAACCTCATGACTCTCACCATATTAGCTAATGCATGTCATGTGACCAGAAGTCTATTAAGGAAATTGGGTCAAGGAACCATTAATTTAATTGTACTGTGGGTTGGGATATACTTGGATGAGTCAGTTTTACTCACCTTAGAGCTTCTTGGGAAGAAGGGGCACTGATAATGAACAATTTTACCTATAATGGTGACTTCAATAATGTTGCAGTAGGAGCAGCTCTTGCTGTAGAGGGAGTTTCTGGATTTCTAGCTAACACATTTGTATTATCTATCACACTCTATCAAAGGAAGTCCTGGAAACAATCATCAACAATATTCTTCACTTCTCTCATACTAGCAAATTTTGTAATGGTTTTACTCCACTTTCCTTTTGCTGTCACTGCATTAGCTGCTGGTGAGTGGATCTTTGGTAGTACAGATGAGGAGAAAACAGGAACATGTACATTTGCTGCTCTTACATTCTGGTATTCATCAATAGTTATAATATTGACACTAGCTGCTATATCATTTGATCGGTTTCTCTTTATTGTCAAACCACATCTTCACAAGCAGTTCATGAGACCCTGGGTAGCACTGACCCTCACCATTGCTATATGGACACTGTCTGCTGTATTGAGTTCCACTCCATTCTATGGGCTTGGAAATTTTAGTTTTGATGAATTGCTTGGCTTCTGTTTTCCTTTATGGATCAGTGTTGACTTTATAGTGTATTCTTTGGTCATAATATTGCTTCTCTTTTCAGTGATCATTGTTACCTCAGTTTGGACCCTTTGCTTTACTCACAGGTTTATAACACAGCAGTCACAGCTATCTAATGATGACACTTATGGATCAAAGAAGAAGTGGCTCTTAGGAATATTTGGATCCATGCTTCTTGTCTATGGGATATGTTTCATGCCTGCTGTGATTGCCATCATTTTGATACCAGTGATAGAAGTTCCTATTGCATTAGTTATATCCAGCATTATTTGTTCTCTCTTTATTACAGTAGCTAATCCTATTGTACAGTCATGCTTTAGGCCTGAGATTAAAAGTGCTTTCCTTTCCCTATTTAAAAAACCATCACCTTTTGTCAGTGTGTAGTTTACTGTGTGTGCACATTCTTTCATTTTTATTACTTAATTCTACGGTGAATGTGAACTTTTGTTTATGCTTCTTTTTTTACAATTTTGGCCAAAGCTAAATAGTTTTTGCTGTGAAGTCTTTTAACTGTATTTCTTATGTTTGTTATTTCATTGTCAAAATTATAAGTTGTACAACATTTTGTGTTCCTGTTGTAGGTGTGGTTTGTTTTTTATGGTCCAGTGGACTTGAAACAATTTTAGAAAAATAAAGTGAAAAGTATGGAAAGCAATTTTAGTTTTACGGGAAGTTTTAATCGCCCTGTTGCTATTACTGTTCTCTCAATAACAACATTAGCTGCTTTGATAGCTAATAGTGTTGTTCTGTTTATCACACTCTATCAAAGGAAGTCCTGGAAGCAATCATCAACAATATTCTTCACTTCTCTCATTTTATCAAACTTTATATTGAATCTACTGTACCTTCCTTTCACTATCATTGCATTAGCTGTTGGTGAGTGGATTTTTGGTAGTACAGATGAGGAGAAGAGAGGGACGTGTGCCTTTGCCGCCTTTATAGTTTGTTACACTGTCCTAGTTCAATCATTCACACTAGCTGCTATATCATTTGATCGGTTTCTCTTTATTGTCAAACCACATCTTCACAAGCGGTTCATGAGACCCTGGGTAGCACTGACCCTCACCATTGCTATATGGATACTGTCTGCTCTATTTGGCTCTACTCCATTCTATGGGCTAGGAAAATTTGCGTACTTACCAAATGTTGGCACGTGCTCTCCTGCATTTACTGAGTACTTTTTTGTTGGCTATTCTGCAGCCATAGAAGTTGCTGTTTTTCTTTTCATCATTATCACTTCTGTATGGACATTTTGTTTCACGTATAAGTTCATACGTGATCAATCAGCAATTGGAGAAGAGAGTGTGTATTTGTCACGAAAGAAACGACTGGTTGGGATATTTGGTGCAATGCTTCTTGTCTATGTAATTTGCTTATTACCTATTTTTACTGTGGCGATTCTTTTTCCTGTTGTTGACATTAGTAGTCACGTCGTAGCTTCTGTTGTCTTTGTCTTGCATTTGTTTACTGTCATTAACCCGCTAGTTCAGTCTTATTTTAGACCCGGCTTCAAGGACTTAATCCTGACTGTTGTCATGAAGTGGCCAAAACGTAGGCTAACAAATGCAATGCTGAGATTAAACCGAATGCCGAATCAGTCCAACTAATCCTGTCATTATCATCAGTATTATTTATTTTTAGCAGTCTTATTATGTATCATTATTATGTCATGCACCATATACATGTATATGTCTTTGTTTTTTTAAAAAGTTGTCTCTTTATTTTTGTTTTTTGTTCCCTCCATTGCAATAGTAAATTCCCTGTAACTGTAGTATTGTGTAGGATGTTTTTTTTCTTGGAACCACCATGCCCTTGCATGCTTGTTTAATTGGCATGGAGCATTCATTGCATACCATCTTTAAGGCTACAAATAAGAGTTTACTATGTAACATTGCTGTGTCATGCTTGCATGCTTGACAATTCCCTTTCATGTCACCCTTTCATGTTTGCTCAAAAGTCAGCCAAAAGACTCTATACTATACTGGTACAGGGTCACCAAACAAATTGTATCAAAATTGAAAAGGAGAGTTTTATACTTTTCTGATGCGTAGATAATTCCAATCAAAATTGGATTTTTTTTACCAATTTTTGAAGTTGCTCAAAAAGCAGGCCAATGACCCTGTAGTCCTGTACTATAAAAAAGTCTTGGGCCATATTTTTTCAAAAATTTGAAAAGAGTGAATTTACCATTTTTATAATTTTTTTCTAATACATATAGATGTACATGTACTTATTTTGCATAGAAAGTTTGAACTAATTTTGATCAAATTTAGATTTTTTCAAAATTTTATGCCCTGTACTTGTATGATACAGGGTTTATTGTCAAATTAACTAGGAGAGGATCCTCCATTTTTATTAAATTTTCTAATGTATGTCTATACATGTTCTGATGTTGTGTAGAAAATTTGTGCTGTTTCAATCCAAGTTAAATTTTTAAATAAAATTTTAAATATACACTAAGCATTAATTTAGCTCACCTAGTAATACTTATGAGAGAACCTTTGACCTCCACCACCTCTGAGACAGATTTCTATTATGGTTATTTGTTATCATCCTTCAAAGTTTACAACTTCCTTTGTTTGACATGCTCATAGTACAGTGTATGCTTGTGGTGTTAACGTGTTGTGTCTGCAAGGCTATATAAGGAAGTGTCTATTAAACCTGTACTTTGAGTACTGGCTAGACACTTGTTAATAGTTACATGTACAAGAGATGGCTATCATAAGGGGGGAGATTCATTTTTGGCTAAGTGTGCTTATAAAAGCTGGGGGAGGGAGAGAGTGAGTAGAGATGGAAACAGTGGAAGCAGTGGAAGCTAATTTTACTTTTGCTCAAGAGTTCAGTAGTCCAGTAGTAGCAGCTGTTCTTATTATTC